CCAGTGGGCTGTTTCCTAACTGCGATTTTTCCGTCCCTCACAAAGCACTGGTGGATTTTTTGGGCATAGCGTAATTTTCTTAGCCGATAAAGGAGGTTTTGTCTTGTTTTGGTAAGGCATCATTGACGTAAACATCAGTTTTCATAGAAAAAGATGTTTTTAGTAGGTTGTTTCTTTGTAGGCTAGTTTGGAATTTTAACAGCACTGTTTTTTTACCCGCTTGGTAGCCCATCAGTTTGCAATCCTTTAGGTCATCACTACGTATGTTAAGGCGAAGGTGGTCCTTGATAAGCTGTAGGGTGGTCTCCATGCAGGTCTCTTGGGTGACTGTGGGTGGGAGATGTTTGCTGTTAACTACAACAGCATCAGATAGCTGTTGTTGGTCATTATGGTCTTGGAAGTTGGTTATGACATTGGCAAGTTGTTGGTCCACTCTTGATCTTTCCTCTATAATGTTGGTAGTAAGGAGGGTGACTTGGTCTTTTAGTGTTGATGGTGTCTAGAGACTGGGTGTGGGTGTTGCTTTGTTGTTCCAGAGCTGTGATCTTGCTGAGGTAATCTGCATTGCTAGCTTTTAGTTCCTGCATTTCTTGAGTTAGTTTGGTGATCGTTTGGTTCTGAATCGTAAGAAGTTTAGCTATTTCTGGGTCGGTGATCTTCTTGACATCAAATCCTAGGAAGGAGTTATCTTGGACTGTGGCGGCGGCCATGTTTGTTGTTGTTTGTCGTGTGTTGTGGTGATGCCGGTGGGCAATGAGGGTTGTGTCCTGGCTGGCAGTACCACAAATTTTCCTCATGGTATTACTGGTCTCACCTTTGATGTTAGGAGTCCTTAGCTGGTTACTGGATCTTCTTTTATTGCTCTGACCCTTGTCCATTGGCTGTGGCTTCGGGTGTATAGTAGGCGATGGGTGATGGGTGAAAGTTGTGGAGTATCACTTCAGTGGAAGCGGGGTAGAAGGTGGTAATACGAGTCCTATTAGTTGGTAATATGTGTACTTTTGGGTGATTTCTGCAGTTGATTTATATCATTCTGGGTATCCACACATGTTAGTGTTATGTGGGTCTTGATTAGGCCATCACTGAGCTCCTGAGAACTTCAGGTAGAAGTAAAAATAGAGGACAAGGTTCCTGCTGCTGGTGTCATTGCCGCTGCCGCTCTTGGGTGTGAAGCATGGGATGAATGTTGCAGTGAGGAGAAGGCTGGAGGCAGTGGAGATGTCATGTCTGAGGGCAATGTGTGGTGTGAATATAATGCAGAGAATTCGTAGTTTGGAAGTTAGGAGGAGGTGCGGGATTACCAAAACTGTTGTCCAGAGGGCTGAGGAAAGGTTGTTGAGGTGGTTTGGACATGTAGAGAGAATGGAGCGAAACAGAATGACTTCAAGAGTGTATCAGTCTGTAGTGGAAGGAAGGCGGGGTAGGGGTCGGCCTAGGAAAGGTTGGAGGGAGGGGGTAAAGGAGGTTTTGTGTGCGAGGAGCTTGGACTTCCAGCAGGCATGCGTGAGCGTGTTTGATGGGAGTGAATGGAGACAAATGGTTTTTAATACTTGAAGTCCTGTTGGAGTGTGAGCAAAGTAACATTTATGAAGGGATTCAGGGAAACCGGCAGGCCAGACTTGAGTCCTGGAGATGGGAAGTACAGTGCCTGCACTCTGAAGGAGGGGTGTTAATGTTGCAGTTTAAAAACTGTAGTGTAAAGCACCCTTCTGGCAAGACAGTGATGGAGTGAATGATGGTGAAAGTTTTTCTTTTTTGAGCCACCCTGCCTTGGTGGGAATCGGCCAGTGTGTTAATAATAATAAATAATATATATATAATATATATATATATATATATATATATATATATATATATATATATATATATATATATATATATATATATATATATATATACACACACACACAGTGGTCGCTCGTTTTTCATAGTTAATCCGTTCCTGGAGTTGCTACTATTATCGAAATCTACGATTTGCGAATCAATTTTCCCCATAAGAAATAATGTAAATATAATTAATCCGTTCCTGACACCCAGAAGTATTAAAGCAAAAAAAATTTTTACATGAAATATACATGTAGTACATAAACAATACAATGGGAAATGATGAATGAAACATTAACAGTATAACACTTACCTTTATTGGAGATTCTTCTTAGTGTATGGGAGACTGGAGGAGGAGAGTGAGTGGATTGTTTATAGTTTGGAAGGGGAATCCCCTTCCATCAACACTTCAGGTACCATTTGCTTTTCTGGGGTTGCTTCTCTTCTCTGTTTCTTAATGCCACTAGGACCACCTTGAGAGTCACTGGAGTCCTGTCTCACAAAATAACTGTGGAGATAGCTCTGTTTCTGGCATCTCTTTAACACTTCCCTAAAATGGCCCAAGACTTTGTCACTGTACATGTTGCCAACCTGGCTTGCAACAACCTTGTCAGGGTGATGTTTCTCCATAAAGCTTTCCATCTTACCCCACATAGCAAAAATCTCTTTAATTTCTGAAGAAGGCACCTTCTTCCATCTCTCTTCCTCCTCCTCTGCAGCAAGATTCTGAGCTGCGATCTGTTGCTGTTCCTGCTGAAGCTCTTGCAGCTCCTCAGTGGTGAGCTCTTCGTTGTGGTCTTCCACCAATTCTTCCACATCCTCCAAACTCATATCCAACCCCATGGAACTCCTCAGTGCCACAATTGATTTAACAACAGACATAGGCTCATCAGGGTCAGTCCCAAACCCTTCAAAATCCCTCTTGTCGACACAATCTGGCCACAATTTTCTCCAGGCAGAGTTCAAAGTCCTGGTAGTCACTCCCTCCCAAGCCATACCTATAAGGGTTATGCAATGGAGGATGCTGAAGTGTTCTCTCCAAAATTTCCTTAGGGTCAAGTGAGTGTCTGTGCTCACAGTCAAGCACCTGTGAAACATTGCTTTGGAGTAGAGTTTTTTAAAGTTTGCAATGACCTACTGGTCCATGGGCTGGAGGAGAGAAGTGGTATTCAGGGGCAAGAACTTTACTGTGATGAACCCAAACTCCTCGAAAATTAGGTCATCCAAGTTTGGAGGATGAGCAGGTGCATTGTCCATTACTAGCAGGCACTTGAGATCCAATTTCTTTTCCAGGAGGTAATTCTTCACACTAGGGCCAAACACTTCATTGAACCACTCGACAAAAATTTCCCTCGTGACCCATGCCTTACTATTAGATTTCCAAAACGCACACAATTTACTCTTCATAACATTGTTTTTCCTGAACACTCTGGGTTTTTGAGAATGGTACACTAGTAATGGCTTCACTTTGAAATTCCCACTAGCATTAGTACAGAACATTAGTGTCAGCCTGTCTTTCATAGGCTTGTGTCCTGGCATTGCCTTTTCCTCCTGTGTAATGAAGGTCCTCTTTGGCATTTTCTTCCAAAAGAGGCCTGTTTCGTCACAATTGAACACTTGTTCAGGTTTCAGTCCTTCAGCCTCTACGTACTCCTTGAATTCATGCACATATTTTTCAGCCGCCTTGTGGTCCAAACTGGCAGCCTCACCATGGCTTACCACACTGTGTATGCCAGTACGGTTCTTAAATCTCTCAAACCAACCTTTGCTGGCCTTAAATTCACTCACATCACCACTATTTGCAGGCAATTTCTTTACCAGATCGTCGTGCAACTTCCTACCCTTTTCACAAATAATCAAAGTCATAAGAGTATCTCCTGCTAATTGTTTCTTATTTATCCACACCAATAATAACGTCTCAACCTCTTCGAGTACTGGTGATCTCATTTTTGTCAGCATAGTTACCCCCTTTGCAACAACAGCATCCTTGATTTCCTTTTTCTTGGCCACTATGGAACATATGGTTGTGTAGGGTTTCTTATACATCCTGGCCAGTTCGGCCGCACTTGTGCCACTTTCATATTGTTCAATGATGTTTTTCTTAAATTCAATCGTATTTCTCACCTTCTTTACCACAGGCTTGGCACTAGGAGTTTTCTTTGGAGCCATGGTAGCTTATTTAGTACTTGCAAGCACTAAAATGAGTGGAATATTATGAAATATTTCGTAGGAGCACGTGAGGGGGCCTTCACTCACTGGTAAACAATGCCAGACTGGCTGGGTAGGGAGGCCGCCCCGGCTCACACCGTGCGTACATGTCCCGGATGAACTACTATTCGTGAATCAACCTATGATTAGCGAGCCCATGTTTATACGAAAATATCCCAATGATTTCCGAAATCTATGATTCCCGAGAACTACGAAAAGCGAGGGACCACTGTATATATATATATATATATACATACATATATATATACACAGTGGTACCATGAGTTTCGAACTGCTCCCAACTCGACCAATTATGTAAGTGTATTATTGTCAGTGCTTTTGGAAGTGTATTTTTGGGGGTCTGAAACGGACTAATCTAATTACGTTATTCCTTACAGGAATAAAATCATTCGGTAACGGCACCTGAACAGCCGTCTGGAATGAAGAAAGTTTGAAACTCGGGGTACCACTGTACATATATTCTAGGTTATTATTTTAATACTTATGTATACAGAGAGGCCATGGAGTGGGTTAATGAATGAGGTTTCACTGGAGGAACAGGAGAGGTTAGTAAGTCCTTGGATCAAGAGCCCTGGGATGAGGTTTTGGCATCAGCGGCAGCAACCAGACCTGAAGGTCCAATGTGTAAGTCCAAGGTTATTGTTCTTTAATGATAGTTGAAATTTTCTCATGTTTCAACTGGCGGACAGTCGAAATACATCGACCAACTCAGTCAAAATTAAGATTGAGAATTTAAAGCAACATGCACTGATTGTTAGTAAATATTAAACTGCTTTCCATACCTCTATATACAGTCAGTTCCCTTATAAAGTTTCTCTATTACTATATAGTGGAACTTTATAAGAGAACTAACTATATACAGTGGAACTTTATAAGAGAACTGAATATATATAGTGGAACTTTATAAGAACTGACTGTATATAGTGGAACTTTATAAGGCAACTTACCAGCCAAGAGGCTGCGAAGTTCATCTTGTGATGCTGCAATCTTGATGTCTGTATTGAGGGACATCAATCCCTTTCTAACTCCTTTAGACACATTGATGAAGACCAGAGGTTGATGCCTCTTCTCAAAATCATTACACAAACTCTTTATGCCCTGAAAAACAGTCAAAAATAATTTTAAAATAGTGACAGAGACTAGAAAGCAGGAGCACATGGGAAGGTATGTGTTGATAGGATGAGTGAGAATGTTACAGTACTGGAGGTGGGAAGTACAGTACCAGTACTCTGAAGGATGAGTGAGAATGTTACAGTACTGGAGGTGGGAAGTACAGTACCAGTACTCTGAAGGATGAGTGAGAATGTTACAGTACTGAAGGTGGGAAGTACAGTACCAGTACTCTGAAGGATGAGTGAGAATGTTACAGTACTGGAGGTGGGAAGTACAGTACCAGTACTCTGAAGGATGAGTGAGAATGTTACAGTACTGAAGGTGGGAAGTACAGTACCAGTACTCTGAAGGATGAGAGAGAATGTTACAGTACTGGAGGTGGGAAGTACAGTACCAGTACTCTGAAGGATGAGTGAGAATGTTACAGTACTGGAGGTGGTAAGTACAGTACCAGTACTCTGAAGGATGAGTGAGAATGTTACAGTACTGAAGGTGGGAAGTACAGTACCAGTACTCTGAAGGATGAGTGAGAATGTTACAGTACTGGAGGTGGGAAGTACAGTACCAGTACTCTGAAGGATGAGTGAGAATGTTACAGTACTGGAGGTGGTAAGTACAGTACCAGTACTCTGAAGGATGAGTGAGAATGTTACAGTACTGGAGGTGGGAAGTACAGTACCAGTACTCTGAAGGATGAGTGAGAATGTTACAGTACTGAAGGTGGGAAATACAGTACCAGTACTCTGAAGGATGAGTGAGAATGTTACAGTACTGGAGGTGGGAAGTACAGTACCAGTACTCTGAAGGATGAGTGAGAATGTTACAGTACTGAAGGTGGGAAGTACAGTACCAGTACTCTGAAGGATGAGTGAGAATGTTGCAGTACTGGATGTGGGACATACAGTGACCTCACCTTAACAGCAGTATAATCAACACCAGTAAAGTGACCACAATCCACCACCACAGTCATTCTACTGCTGGCGGTAGTTAACCCGGCCTTGTTGACGGATGTCCTCACGTAATCCACTGATGGAAAGAACAAACTACTTTGTGTTTCCACCAGGACATAGGCCTCGTACAGTACCAGTACTCTGAAGGATGAGTGAGAATGTTGCAGTACTGGATGTGGGACATACAGTGACCTCACCTTAACAGCAGTATAATCAACACCAGTAAAGTGACCACAATCCACCACCACAGTCATTCTACTGCTGGCGGTAGTTAACCCGGCCTTGTTGACGGATGTCCTCACGTAATCCACTGATGGAAAGAACAAACCACTTTGTGGTTCCACCAGGACATAGGCCTCGTACAGTACCAGTACTCTGAAGGATGAGTGAGAATGTTATAGTACTGAAGGTGGGTAGTACAGTACCAGTACTCTGAAGGATGAATGAGGATGTTACAGTACTGGAGAGGTGGAAAGTACAGTACCAGTACTCAGAAAGATGAGTGAGAATGTTACAGTACTGGAGGTGGAAAGTACAGTACCAGTACTCTGAAGGATGAGTGAGAATGTTACAGTACTGGAGGTGGAAAGTACAGTACCAGTACTCTGAAGGATGAGTGAGAATATTACAGCACTGGAGGTGGGAAGTACAGTACCAGTGCTCTGAAGGATGAGTGAGAATGTTACTGTACTGGAGGTGGAAAGTACAGTACCAGTACTCTGAAGGATGAGTGAGAATGTTACTGTACTGAAGATGGGAAGTACAGTACCAGTACTCTGAAGGATAAGTGAGGATGTTATGGTACCAGAGGTGGGAAGTACAGTACCAGTACTCTGAAGGATGAGTGAGGATGTTACAGTACTGGAGGTGGGAAATACAGTATCAGTACTCTGTGCGCAACAAGGCCAACAGATTGCTTGGATTTATCTCAAGAAGTATAAGTAACAGAAGTCCAAAAGTTATTTTACAGTTCTATACATCACTAGTGAGGCCTCATTTAGATTATGCTGCTCAGTTTTGGTCCCCTTACTACAGGATGGACATAGACTCATTAGAGAACATACAGAGAAGAATGACTAAAATGATTTACTGTGTAAGGAACCTCCCGTATGAAGATAGACTTAAAGCCTTAAATCTCCACTCTCTGGAGAGGCGTAGAATGAGGGGAGATATCATTGAAGTGTATAAGTGGATGACGGGCATAAACAAGGGAGACATTAATAAAGTACTGAGGGTGTCAAACCAGGTAAGAACCAGGAATAATGGATTTAAGTTGGATAAATTTAGATTTAGAAAGGACATAGGTAAGTACTGGTTTTCTAACAGAGTTGTAGATGCGTGGAACAGTCTTCCCAGTGGGGTGATAGAGGCTAGGACCTTGGGTAGCTTTAAGAAGAGACTGGACAAATATATGAGTGGGAGGGGCTGGGTTTGATTGGTGTTGGGGGGTGTGGGAGTTGTTTCTTGAGTAGCTTTAGGTAGAGATCGTTTTGATAAGGACCTGCCTCGTATGGGCCAGTAGGCCTTCTGCAATGTTCCTACATTCTTATGTTCTTATGTTCTTATGTAAGGATGAGTGAGGCTATTACAGTACTGGAGGTGGGAAGTACAGTACCAGTACTCTGAAGGATAAGTGAGGATGTTATGGTACCAGAGGTGGGAAGTACAGTACCAGTACTCTGAAGGATGAGTGAGGATGTTACAGTACTGGAGGTGGGAAGTACAGTACCAGTACTCTGAAGGATGAGTGAGAATGTTACAGTACTGGAGGTGGTAAGTACAGTACCAGTACTCTGAAGGATGAGTGAGAATGTTACAGTACTGGAGGTGGTAAGTACAGTACCAGCACTGAAGGATGAGTGAGAATGTTACAGTACTGGAGGTGGGAAGTACAGTACCAGTACTCTGAAGGATGAGTGAGGATGTTACAGTACTGGAGGTGGGAAGTACAGAACCAGCACTGAAGGATGAATGAGAATGCTACAGTACTGGAGGTGGGAAGTACAGTACCAGTACTGAAGGATGAGTGAGGATGTTACAGTACTGGAGGTGGGAAGTACAGTACCAGTACTCTGAAGGATGAGTGAGGATGTTACAGTACTGGAGGTGGTAAGTACAGTACCAGTACTCTGAAGGATGAGTGAGGATGTTACAGTACTGGAGGTGGGAAGTACAGAACCAGCACTGAAGGATGAATGAGAATGCTACAGTACTGGAGGTGGGAAGTACAGTACCAGTACTGAAGGATGAGTGAGGATGTTACAGTACTGGAGGTGGGAAGTACAGTACCAGTACTCTAAAGGATGAGTGAGAATGTTACAGCACTCGATGTGGGACATACAGTGACCTCACCTTAACAGCAGTATAATCAACACCAGTAAAGTGACCACAATCCACCACCACAGTCATTCTACTGCTGGCGGTAGTTAACCCGGCCTTGTTGACGGATGTCCTCACGTAATCCACTGATGGAAAGAACAAACTACTTTGTGTTTCCACCAGGACATAGGCCTCGTACAGTACCAGTACTCTGAAGGATGAGTGAGAATGTTGCAGTACTGGATGTGGGACATACAGTGACCTCACCTTAACAGCAGTATAATCAACACCAGTAAAGTGACCACAATCCACCACCACAGTCATTCTACTGCTGGCGGTAGTTAACCCGGCCTTGTTGACGGATGTCCTCACGTAATCCACTGATGGAAAGAACAAACCACTTTGTGGTTCCACCAGGACATAGGCCTCGTCATCTCCATCCTGACCAAAAAATAAAAAGTTAATTAAAAAACTCCCATTATACCTTCATATTTTGACCCTCTCATTGTCCAGACCAAAATGAAAATTGCCCTCAAAAGTAGATAGTGTTTTTGAAGGTACTGATGCTGAAATTACGAAATATTATGGAAAACTTAAGGAGTTACACTGGCACAAAGTTAGCAGTCTGTTTGCAACTAATGCACCAATGATTCTGCCCATTTTGAGGCTTATTTTAGGCCAATTCTATTGTTTTAGTTGACCAAATTCTTAACTATATTGATTTAAGTATCACTTAAGCAGAAGCAACACCCAATAAAATAAAAACCATCCGAAAAAACACTTCAAATTTGGTGTTTTTAAACCAAACTTTTGGCTAATAACCCCTTAAATTACTAACATAATAATAATAATAATAATAATAATAATAATAATAATAATAATAATAAAAAGAAGAAGCAGAAGAAAGTTAATCTGGGGAACTGGTAGAGGTTTGAACCCTGGTAAATAAGTTGTTGAACTCATAGGCCAGTGCATCAACCTCTTGGCCCAGTTCTTAACACACTGGTCTGGGTTTCACTGTGTCACTCAGTGATGCCACGAGCCGCAGGTTAGAACCTAACTTTACACATATAACCCACACATGGGAGAGAGGAGCTTACGACAACATTTCGGTTGTAAATGATCCAAGTCGGACCGAAACACTGTCATAAGCTCCTCTCTCCCATGTGAGGGTTATTTGTGTATTGTTCCAGTCACAATATAATGTTTTTTGTTATGTAGAACCTAACCTGCTTCACAGTGACAACTATTAGAATTTAACCTGCTCTTTGGTGACGCCTACTGGAACTTAACCTAACCTCACCTGCATCGCTGTGACGTCAACAACAACCTTAGGCCTGGCTGAACCATACAGGACGAGGGCCAGGTTGACGCCGGCACCGACCAGGATGCCGTACTCCAGCTTCCAGAACAAGCAGGTCAAAAAGGTGGTCCAGAGTGGCAGCTGGTCTAGACGGTGGGCCTGCCAGATGGGCAGCACCACCTGGTAATCCACCATGAAGATGACAGCGCAGATGATCACCGCCGCCAGTGACGCCTTGGGTATGTACCTGCGGTGATGACACAATGTAAACAATGCATAAATAACACTGCAAGCAACACATAAACACATGAAAATATTCAATTTTTAAATACTGCTCCCTTCATAAAAATATAAAATAGCACTGCAGGATGCCTACTGGCCCATATTATGAATACTATAAGAGAACAGTATATAGTGGAACTTTATAAGAGAACTGACTATATATAGTGGAACTCTATAATAAAACTGTATATAGAGCAACTTTATAGAGAGATGAGTGAAGTCTTACTTGAAATAAGAAGTAAGGAAGGCCAGGGCCAGTATCACCAGGGTACCAGTAACAATACCACCTGCTGGTGTTTTAACACCACTGGTGGCATTCACTGCCGTTCTTGTGAATGACCCAGTGACCGGCATGGACTGTACGAATGACCCAGCCAGGTTGCACATCCCCAGGGCCAGCATCTCCTGCAAGATTAATGTTGCCAGCTGAGAAGAGTGGTGTTAGGAGGTTAAGATTGTAGGAGCACCATTCCTAGGCCTACTGGTCCATGCAGTACACTTACTGGATCATACTAGGTAGGTCTAACTCACACCAATACTGCAGTAGGCTTACTGGATCATACTAGGTAGGTCTAACTCACACCAATACTGCAGTAGGCTTACTGGATCATGCTAGGTAGGTCTAACTCACACCAATACTGCAGTAGGCTTACTGGATCATACTAGGTAGGTCTAACTCACACCAATACTGCAGTACACTTACTGGATCATGCTAGGTATGTCTAACTCACACCCAACACTTCCATAGGCTTACTGGATAAGGCTAGGTAGGTCTAACATGCCAATACTGCAGTAGGCCTACTGGATCATGCAGTAGGTTTACTGTATCATACAGTAGATCTATTGTATCATACAGAAGGTGGGCCTACTGTATCATACAGTAGGTCCACTGTGTCATACAGTAGGTCTATTGTATCATATAGTAGGTAGGCCTACCGTATCATACAGTAGGTCTACTGTATCATACAGTAGGTCCACTGTATCATACAGTAGGTCTATTGTATCACATAGTAGGTAGGCCTACTCTATCATACAGTAGGTCTACTGTATCATAGAGTAGGTCTACTGTATCATACAGTAGGTCAACTGTATCATACAGTAGGTCAACTGTATCATACAGTAGGTCTATTGTAGCATATAGTAGGTAGGCCTACTGGATCATACAGTAGGTCTATTGTATCATACAGTAGGTAGGCCTACTGGATCATACAGTAGGTCTACTGTATTATACATGTCTAGTGGATCATACAGTAGGTCTACTGTATCATACAGTAGGTCAACTGTATCATACAGTAGGTCTATTGTATCATATAGTAGGTAGGCCTACTGGATCATACAGTAAGTCTATTGTATCATACAGTAGGTAGGCCTACTGTATCATACAGTAGGTCCACTGTATCATACAGTAGGTCTATTGTATCATATAGTAGGTAGGCCTACTCTATCATACAGTAGGTCTACTGTATCATACAGTAGGTCTACTGTATTATACATGTCTAGTGGATCATACAGTAGGTCTACTGTATCATACAGTAGGTCAACTGTATCATACACTAAGCATACTGTATTATGCTGGGAATTGATGAATTAATGACATCAATCAGAGCCCAGGATGTACCTGGGTGACATCATTCAGGGCCCAGGATGTACCTGGGTGACATCAGTCAGGGCCCAGGATGTACCTGGGTGACATCAGTCAGGGCCCAGGATGTACCTGGGTGACATCATTCAGAGCCCAGGATGTACCTGGGTGACATCATTCAGAGCCCAGGATGTACCTGGGTGACATCATTCAGAGCCCAGGATGTACCTGGGTGACATCAATCAGAGCCCAGGATGTACCTGGGTGACATCATTCAGAGCCCAGGATGTACCTGGGTGACATCATTCAGAGCCCAGGATGTACCTGGGTGACATCAGTCAGGGCCCAGGATGTACCTGGGTGACATCATTCAGAGCCCAGGATGTACCTGGGTGACATCAGTCAGAGCCCAGGATGTACCTGGGTGACATCAATCAGAGCCCAGGATGTACCTGGGTGACATCAATCAGAGCCCAGGATGTACCTGGGTGACATCAATCAGAGCCCAGGATGTACCTGGGTGACATCAGTCAGGGTCCAGGATGTACCTGGGTGACATCAATCAGAGCCCAGGATGTACCTGGGTGACATCAATCAGAGCCCAGGATGTACCTGGGTGACATCATTCAGAGCCCAGGATGTACCTGGGTGACATCAGTCAGGGTCCAGGATGTACCTGGGTGACATCATTCAGAGCCCAGGATGTACCTGGGTGACATCAGTCAGGGTCCAGGATGTACCTGGGTGACATCATTCAGAGCCCAGGATGTACCTGGGTGACATCAATCAGAGCCCAGGATGTACCTGGGTGACATCAGTCAGGGTCCAGGATGTACCTGGGTGACATCAATCAGAGCCCAGGATGTACCTGGGTGACATCATTCAGAGCCCAGGATGTACCTGGGTGACATCAATCAGAGCCCAGGATGTACCTGGGTGACATCATTCAGAGCCCAGGATGTACCTGGGTGACATCATTCAGAGCCCAGGATGTACCTGGGTGACATCAGTCAGGGCCCAGGATGTACCTGGGTGACATCAGTCAGGGCCCAGGATGTACCTGGGTGACATCAGTCAGGACCCAGGATGTACCTGGGTGACATCAATCAGGGCCCAGGATGTACCTGGGTGACATCATTCAGAGCCCAGGATGTACCTGGGTGACATCAATCAGGGCCCAGGATGTACCTGGGTGACATCATTCAGAGCCCAGGATGTACCTGGGTGACATCAATCAGGGCCCAGGATGTACCTGGGTGACATCATTCAGAGCCCAGGATGTACCTGGGTGACATCATTCAGAGCCCAGGATGTACCTGGGTGACATCAATCAGGGCCCAGGATATACCTGGGTGACATCAGTCAGGGTCCAGGATGTACCTGGGTGACATCATTCAGAGCCCAGGATGTACCTGGGTGACATCATTCAGAGCCCAGGATGTACCTGGGTGACATCAATCAGGGCCCAGGATGTACCTGGGTGACATCATTCAGAGCCCAGGATGTACCTGGGTGACATCATTCAGAGCCCAGGATGTACCTGGGTGACATCAATCAGGGCCCAGGATATACCTGGGTGACATCAGTCAGGGCCCAGGATGTACCTGGGTGACATCATTCAGAGCCCAGGATGTACCTGGGTGACATCAGTCAGGGCCCAGGATGTACCTGGGTGACATCAATCAGGGCCCAGGATGTACCTGGGTGACATCAGTCAGGGCCCAGGATATACCTGGGTGACATCAGTCAGGGCCCAGGATGTACCTGGGTGACATCAGTCAGGGCCCAGGATGTACCTGGGTGACATCAATCATGGCCCAGAATGTATCTGGGTGACATCAGTCAAGGCCCAGGATGTACCTGGGTGACATCAATCAGGGCCCAAGATGTACCTGGGTGACATCAGTCAAGGTGCAGGATGTACCTGGGTGACATCAGTCAAGGCCCAGGATGTACCTGGGTGACATCAATCAGGGCCCAAGATGTACCTGGGTGACATCAGTCAAGGTGCAGGATGTACCTGGGTGACATCAGTCAGGACCCAAGATGCACCTGGGTGACATCAATCAGGTGCCAGAGCAGATCGTACCTGGGTGGCATCAGTGAAGCCCCAGGACATACCTGGGTGGCATCGATGGTGGCACCACCGGCGAAAGCGCTGGCGATAGCTATACTCTCCAGGATGGATACGATGGGAATGATGACCACACCAGCACCAACGTCAGCCAGGATGTCGCCGAAGGTCAGCATTGTTCCATTGACGTCAGCAGAGAACGCTGGTGGATGGAATGGCGGCAAGCCCGGCTTAACCTCACCTAGAATAAGCCGGAGGTTGTTTACAAGTTGTATACATCAATTATAATATGTTTAGAAGTTGTATAATTCTTTCAGCTCAATACAATGTCTGCACAGAGACAGAACACAATTAAGCATACATACAGTAAGCCCCTTAGTATTTAGAGCATTTTGGGCAAACTTAGGTCTATCTTAAACCTAATAAGGCAATTACTGATTGATTGCTTATATACAGACATGCTCTAAGTGATATTTGGGTTTTATGCTGACTGAGAGAAGTTGTGGAGTTATCAGGTAGATAGATAGGTTCTGGAGTTATCAGATAGATAGAGAGGTTCTGGAGTTATCAGATAGATAGAGGCTCTGGAGATTTCCAGCAGAGAGTTGCAGATCTTGGGCCCCTTTTATGTACATTGTATTTTTGAAGAGATTTAGCTGGACACTGGGAATGTCATAGAGAGTTTTGTGTGTATTATTGTGTCTCTGGGTCCTGTTGCACCTATCAGGTGCTTCAAGTCAGTTATTTATTATTTATTTTTTATTATCACACTGGCCGATTCCCACCAAGGCAGGGTGGCCCGAAAAAGAAAAACTTTCACCATCATTCACTCCATCACTGTCTTGCCAGAAGGGTGCTTTACACTACAGTTTTTAAACTGCAACATTAACACCCCTCCTTCAGAGTGCAGGCACTGTACTTCCCATCTCCAGGACTCAAGTCCGGCCTGCCGGTTTCCCTGAACCCCTTCATAAATGTTACTTTGCTCACACTCCAACAGCACGTCAAGTATTAAAAACCATTTGTCTCCATTCACTCCTATCAAACACGCTCACGCATGCCTGCTGGAAGTCCAAGCCCCTCGCACACAAAACCTCCTTTACCCCCTCTCTCCAACCTTTCCTAGGCCGACCCCTACCCCGCCTTCCTTCCACTGCAGACTCATACACTCTTGAAGTCATTCTGTTTTGCTCCATTCTCTCTACATGTCTGAACCACCTCAACAACCCTTCCTCAGCCCTCTGGACAACAGTTTTGGTAATCCCGCACCTCCTCCTAACTTCCAAACTACGAATTCTCTGCATTATATTCACACCACACATTGCCCTCAGACATGACATCTCCACTGCCTCCAGCCTTCTCCTCGCTGCAACATTCATCACCCACGCTTCACACCCATATAAGAGCGTTGGTAAAACTATACTCTCATACATTCCCCTCTTTGCCTCCAAGGACAAAGTTCTTTGTCTCCACAGACTCCTAAGTGCACCACTCACTCTTTTCCCCTCATCAATTCTATGATTCACCTCATCTTTCATAGACCCATCCGCTGACACGTCCACTCCCAAATATCTGAATACATTCACCTCCTCCATACTCTCTCCCTCCAATCTGATATTCAATCTTTCATCACCTAATCTTTTTGTTATCCTCATAACCTTACTCTTTCCTGTATTCACCTTATGTTATGTCAGTTATGTAATGCTTTATATATGCAAGGTCATGTCCTCTGATACCATAGTGGTCAAATTTGTGGAGCAGGATGCTGTGGCCTACTGTGTCAAAGCTTTGTGTATTGGAGTAACTCTTGCTATGTCGAGCAATGTCAGGATACAATAGGCTCTTGATCCAAGGTTCTAGTGTCCCAATACCCCTGCTACATGTGGGTTTAGTGCCTAAATATGGGGAAACAACCAGGTCCAGCATACTGCTGTCTGTTAGTAAGGTAAGACCATATTGATCAAGCTTGTGGATTAGGATGCTGTGGTCTACTGTATCAAAAACTTTCCTTGGGTCAATACAGAGGCATAGTGGATAGTCATTATTTTCCAGTGCTGTGTAAAGCAGGTCTAGCATTTTTATTATAGCATCATTTGTGCTGTTGTTTTTCTTGAAGTCAAAATGGCAGGTGTTGAGAATGGTTTGTGATGTTATAAAGGGAGCATAATCTCTTGTGTGTGAACTTCTCGAAGAGTTTTGATGGTAAAGGAAACTTTGATACTGATCTATACTAGCCTTTTGACTCAGTCATATATATACATCTTACGAGCCACCGTGTTTGACATATATATACTCATAAATTCTAGCAGCTTCAAATCAAGCAGGAGAAAGCTGGTAGGCCCACATGTGAGAGAATGGGTCTGTGTGGTCAGTGTGCACCATATAAAAAAAATCCTGCAGCACACAATGCATGATGAGAAAAAACACTCTGGCCTTTTTTTGGATTAAAACGCCGACTTTGTGGTGTATTTTCGTATAGTATTTATGGTTGTATTCTCGTTTTCTTGGTCTTATTTGATAGAATGGAAAACATATTATAGAAATAGAGGTGATTTTGATTAGTTTTACTATGAAAAGAACCTTGAAATGGAGCTCCAAGTAAGGGAAATGTTTGATTTTTGCCGATGTTCAAAAGTAAACAAATGATATCGTTGTTCATTAAATGTCCAAGTAGCCATTCTAATATGCAGTCATGAATGGGTTGACATTATTTATACAATTATTACAATATTGCAGTAGTCTGCATAATAGTAAATAGCAAGAGTAATATCAGAGGGGCCTGGAGACATGACTGATGAACAAAGAAAATGTTATTTTATAGCCAGGAATGTCTGCATTGTTCATTCTGGACCCTATTTTGAAATTGGCATATTTTTTAATTTGCGTGAAATTGGTCAAATTGCAAATTTCTGACCACGTTATTGGGCAGTTGAAATCAGTAAATGGGCGGTTTCTTGTACTCAGTCGATAGAACAAATAGAGCTCTAAAGAAATAGCTATGAGTTTGGGTGACTGGAACAATGGAATTAGCCGAAAATAGGGCTCAAAGTGGGCGAAATTGCCAATTCGCAAATATCGCCGAGGTCGCTAACTTCGCGAGGGCGTAATTCCATAAGTTTTCCATCAAATTTCGTTCTTTTGGTGTCATTACCATTGGGAAATGATTCTCTATCATTTCATGAGAATTTTTTTTTTTTTTTCAAAAATTTTTCGACACCAGGAGACACCACAGGATTTGGGATTTTGACAGTCACAGGGCTAGTATGAGGCATCCTGTATATAGCACCAACTGTAACAGGAGTCTTAATATACATATATGTATCCACCACATCATTGTAACATGTGGTGTTACAACACAATAGTTTATTACAATAGACGGTGATTTAGATGTATTTAGAGCTTGTATATCCTATATATAATTCACTCAGAGCCTGTTTATCCCACATATAATATATTTAGAGCCTGTATATTTCACATATACATAGTGTATTCAGAGCAACAGCGACTCACCAGTTATAATGAAAGGTTGCTCGTGCCGTTGGCAGTAAGCAACAACCAGAGCCACCAAGACCACGATGGCATTACGACCCACTGACACCAGGAAGACCCCCTTCTTCCAGACCCGGGTCCAGCGAGAGTCACTCGCTCGAACTCTAACAGCTGCTATGTCCTTCACTCTCTGTAAGTTGAAGTTAATGTTATATGCAGTGGGGGGGGGGGGGGGTTTGGTACTATTCACACAATACCAGCCAGGGTATCGTGTGTTAGTGAATTGTACCATGGCTAGTACAATTCATAACTAACCCACAGTACCATGGCTGGTATAATTCACTACCACATAATACCATGACTGGTACAATTCACTAATCCACAATATCATAACTACAAGAATTCACAACCCACAGTACCCTGACTGGACCTTCGTAACCTTAATGAGCCATGAACGACCCCCCAACAGCAATTATAAAGGGATAATTACCCTCATTATCAACAAAACAACACTGGAAGAGAGTCCTAGGGTGAGGTCCTGCCATCTAGTCTTGCCAATGTTGTGGAAGAACTTGTCGTAAGTTTCAATAATGCCATCGCTGGAGTACGACAAGCCAAAGAGGCCCTTAAGCTGTGATGACGCAATGGTAATCGCCGCTGCTGATGTAAATCCGCTGATGACTGGCTTAGAGATGAAGTTGATGAGGAATCCTAGCAGAAGGAACAGTTAGAAGGTGGTTAGCAAGCGGTCAGAATAATCCAAAGCGAGGTCAGACAGTTTTTGCATTTGCTCTGCCATACAGTTGAGTAAATGTGACCTTTATTAATACAGTGGACCCTCGGGTAACAGCAGCATCGGCTAACTCCAAAATCGGAGAGCGGCACATTTTTGCGTCAAAATATTTCCTCGGCTAATGCCCAAGAACTCGGTTGAGGACATTTGTCCCAAACCTGTCCACATGGCCTGAGCCGATGTACAGGTAGTGTGCTAATGTTTACAAGCCAGTGAGGATTCCACGCGTACATGCAATATATTTTGTATTATTCCATTTTTTAGTGCTTGTAATTGCTAAATAAGCCACCATGGGCCCAAAGAAAGCTTCTAGTGCCAGACCTGTGGTAAAGAAGGAAAGAAACACAATAGAATTAAAAAAAAAACTTGTAGCAAAGTACCAAAGTAGAGGAGGTAGAGAGAGAGGAGAATGTGCCTTCTGCAGTGATTCAGTGATTCTACAATATGTACGATACTAAAGCAGCAGGTATCAATAAAGGCTAAAGTGCCAGCCAGCGATAAAGTGTAGAAGTAACAGTGTAGCAAGTAAGTTAAGTGAGTAAGCGATAGAAAAACGACACGAAAGTAACTCTCCAATGTTGTTGGATGTGTATAGGGCCAATGAACATATGCTGCCCTGCTATCTTCCACCACCCTAAACCTCTGCCAGCATCTCCTCCATCAAACTAACTAATTAAACTAACATCTCCTCCAAGATAAGTGTAAATATAAAAGTGTAAGTATAAAAGTAAATATAAGTGTAAATATAAAAGGACCCCAATGGAAATAAGTCAGTATGACTTTTTTGGGTTATCCTGTGCTATGTGTGATAATCTATGTACGTAACTGTATTTGTGTATACCTGAATAAACTTACTTATTTATAAATTAAAACATAAATATTTCTTATTTATAAATTACATACTTTGTTTAAGTGTGAATAGTGTTGGTGGCTTCTGCTGCTGCCTCCACTACCACTAATATGCACAGCTTCTCTCAGCGGCCCTTATAAACTCAACAACAACACCTCCAACACTTGTGACATATTTTATTCATTCTAGAGTATATATCATGTTTCAGTGTTATTAATATTGTTTATTATGTCATATTAGATGAATTATGATAGATAAGTAAGCCATAGAGATGATAGTAGTGTCATATTAAAGCATAATAAACTCACCTTCCTCTTGCCTCCTACCTGTCTTCCATACACCAACAAGAGTCAATAAAGGTAAGTGTGATGTCATACGTTTATTTATCCATTTTATTAGTGCTTTATATTTATTTGTCATTGTTTTCTGTATGTATATCTATATTTAATCCTTAAAAAAATATTTTTTGTTAATACTTTTGGGTGTCTGAAACAGATTAACTGGATTTCCATTACAGTGGACCCCCGAGTTTCGTGATTAATCCGTTCCAGAGAGCCCGCCGAAGGTCGAAATTCACGAAACTCGAAACCATTTTCCCCATAAGAAATAATGGAAATAAAATTAATCCGTTCCTGACACCCAAAAATATTAAAATAAAATATTTTTCTTCAAATTAAATAAAGATTTACATAATGAAAACAATCAGAAATCAAGTACATGCATTTAAAATAAATAATAATAACATTACACTTACCTTTACTGAAGACTTCTGGGTGGATGGAAGACGGGAGGAGGTGATAGGAGGAAGGTGAACACTATTGTTTGGAAGGAGAATCTCCTTCCATAGGACTTTAGGTAGCAAGTAATTATATGGGGTTACTCCCCTTCTTCTTTTAATGCCACTGGGAACAACTTGAGAGTCACTGGACCCCTGACGCACAAAATATCTATCCAGAGAGGTCTTTTTTTGGCATTTCTTTAAGATTTCCCTGAAGTGGGACACAACACTGTCATTGTACATGTTGCAGATACGGCTTGTTTCAGCTTGGTCAGGGTGATACTTTTCAACAAAACTTTGCAACTCATTCCACATTCCACTGAAGAAGGCACCTCATCCACTCCCTCTTCCTCCTCCTCTGAAGCAAGTTCCTCGGCTGTGGTCTGATGCTGTTCCAGCTGAAGCTCTTGCAGCTCTTCCCTGTGGTCCTCCACCAACTCTTCCACATCCCCGTTACTCACTTTATTTACCAAAGGGTTTGCACTAGCTTTCCTTGGGTCCATGATGACTTATTTAGCAGTTGCAAGCACAAAAAACAATGGATTATTATGAAATGTATTGTATGAACCCGCGGGGTGATGGTCACATGTTGGTAAATATGGCACACTGAGCATGAATGGTGTGGGAGACTGGCTTTGTGTGCACGGTGATGGGCAGACGGGTACTGGACGGTCGCCGAAACATGAGTTTTTTCACGAAACTCAATGCCAAATTTAAAAAAAAAAACTCGCCGAAGGTCGAATTTCGCGAAAGTCTAGGCTGCCGAAACTCGGGGGTCCACTGTACAGTGGACCCTCGGGTAACGACTGTAATCCGTTCCACTGTGTATGCCACTACGATTCTTAAATCTCTCAAACCAACCTTTGCTGGCCTTAAATTCACTAACATCAGCACTAGTTCCAGGCATTTTTTTAATTAAACCGTCATGCAACTGCTTTGCCTTTTCACATATGACTGACTGTGAAACACTATCTCCTGATAATTGTTTGTCATTGATCCACACCAATAACAGTCTCTTCACATCTTCGAGTATTTGCGATCTCTGTTTTGTAAGCATACTTGCACCTTTTGCAACAACAGCTTCCTTGATTGCCTTTCTGTTGGCCAAGATAGTAGTGATGGTTAAGTGCAGTTTGTTGTACAACCGGGCCAGCTCAGAGGCACGCACTCCACTTTCATACTTTGCGATTATCTCTTTCTTCAGTTTGATTGTACACCTCACCCTTTTTACCACAGGGTTGGCACTAGAATCTTTCTTGGGGCCCATGGTGGCTTATTTAGCAGTTACAAGCACTAAAAACAATGGAATAATGCAAAATGTATCGAATGTATGTGTGGAACCATCCACAGTGGCTTGTAAACAATGGCACACTAGCTGAAGGCAGGGCAGCCGAGGCGTGCTTAAGCCAGACGGACAGGCGGATGCATTTGGGATGATTGTCCTTAACCGGGTTTTTCATCATTGGCCAAGCCAATATTTTTACGCTAAAACGCATCGCTATCTGATTTTATCGCTAGCCAATGTCATTGTTACCCGAGGGTCCACTGTATTTCTTATGGGAAAAATTAATTTGGCTAACAGCAAAATTGGTTAAAAGCAAGCTCTCTGGAACGGATTAATGTCATTACCCGAGGGTCCACTGTAATAATAATGTTTACATCTATGTACCAGTACACGATACAACTTATACAGACCATAGCTGACATCAATAACATACTATACAGAAAGTCCCTGGTTATACAGAGCAGATCTATATACAGTCAACTCTTATAAGTTTACAGCATACTAACTCACCTGGGTTACAACATATTAACTAAGGTTTCAGCATACTCACCCAAGTTACACAATCCTGCAGTGATAATAATAATGCCAGAAGTGAAGCATAAGAGGACAGCATAGACAGGACCACCACTGCCAGAATACTCTAGGGTCATGAGGGCCATGATGGCTGTGGGTCCAATGGTTATATCCTTACAGCTGCCAAAGATCACATACATGAAGCAGCCCATGAATGCTGAGTACAGTCCATACTGAAAGAGAGAGTGAGTGGTACAGTGGTACAGTTCATAGTGAGTGAGAGTGTGTAGTGCAATTAGTACAGTGGTACAGTACCAGTTAGTGGTACAGTTACTAGTACAGTGGTGCAATCTATACTGAGTGGAGAAAGTGTTATTTGTCCCAGAAATTCCACTGTTTTGTTCATACATAAATATTATAGGGTGATGGTGGCAGTAATTTCACAAGGGTTGTATCGCGCCCTTATAACCCACTAAGTAAGAACACGGAGAAGTATCATAAGATTAATGTACTGATAAATGTAAACTTTAAGAATGATTTAGGTAGTTTTGAATTGTTAGCAAATATTAGAATTAATAATATAGCCCTAGATATTAATATTAGGCAGTGAGGTTAAAGCAGAGAGGATAGCAGCTATATACAGTAGGGCCCCGCTTTACGGCGTTTCGCTTTATAGTGTTCCGCTAATACGAACATTTAAAATTATGACCAAAACTCACTATACGACTCCCCCCACTTGTCTTTCTAATATGGTCACTGCGCCCCACTTGATTTGCTTACATTCTCCGAGAGTACATCTCTCTATTATGTCTGGAAACTTTCTAAAATTTCAAGTGTTTTAAGGTTATTGCATATTTTATATATACTCTGATATACATTTATGTGTACCTGTACCTAAATATACTTACACACTGTGCTGGCGTGCAGGTACACATTAAAATCACTAAGAGTCTCTACTCTTGAAGATCCATATAATAATAATAATAATAATAATAATAATAATAATAATAATAATAATAATAATAATCTCCTTTGGGAGCTTTAAAATATTGTAAAATTCTTTAAATATAGACATTTCCAGCTATAATTTTTTTTTAAAAATTTTTAAAATAACACATTACATAACCCACAAAAAATGAAAAACCCACAGGATAAACTTGGCAAAATATGAGATGTGTCCCCAAACAGTTTGTAGGATTTGCCCGGAAAGAATTAAAATTTTCTCTAGTTCATCACCATTTTACGGGGATAACTGAAAGAAAAATATTCCTTTCATATCCCTTCACTCTTCTAAAAGCTTTTTCCAGACCCTTGTGGGTTTAGTGCTTTTTTTTATTATGATTATAACAATAATAAAAATATCATCATTCACTCAAAAAAATGGTGGTTGCATGAGCCCTGGGAATGTTGCGTTTATTTTTTCCCTTCGTACTAACTTGTACACAATTAAGAGTTTTGTATTGTGAGGTAATTATTATTATAAAAAAAAAATTTTTGTGGGGTTTTATAGTTTAAAACAAACTCTTACAAACATACTGAATGAAGAAAAATTTGGGGACACGTATTAATATTGGTTTTTGTCCTAACCCGAGTGATCCCCACCACCTTTCAGTTTGTAAATCCCCGTTCTCTCTTTTCCTCTCCCTCCGTGTATTTTCCTTTTCTCTCTCGTTTACCATTTTGTTAACCAGTCGGCTCTTTGTTAAACAAATGGAAACTAAGCTGAGTTTAAATAAAAAAAAAGAGTCTTAACCCCTCTTACTTTCATTTGCCAAGTTAGAAATGATTAAACTTGTTAAAACTGCCCTTTTTAAAGGGTTATCCTAAGTTCTCTAAAACATATGATCTATGAAAAGATAATGTATGTAACTGTAGGGTTATTTGTTATACCTAATAAACTTACTTAAAAGGATGCTAGGGTTTAAAGAAAGCACGTAATTTGGGTTTTTGGTTTGGTCAAACATTTAGCACATTTGGGTCAACAAAAAGGAAAAAAATTTATTCAGGAAAACCCCACAAAATATTTACTGGGATTTTTAATACATAGCGGGCAAAATGTGAGAGAACCTGGTAAAAAACCCCAAAAAAATCAGTGTTTTAATTGCTGACAGGGGAAAAATTTTATACACTGCCACTGACCTCTTCACACTTTCATTTTAATTTTTAAAAACCCTTTTTGGGTTTTCCCGACGTACTATTACGTCAAAAACCGGGGTTTTTGACGAAACCTAGTCGCCAAAAAATTCTAGCCCCCCCTAAATCTATGAGAGAAAGCTGGTAGGCCAAACATATGAAAAAAAGGGTCTATGTGGTCATTGTGCGCAGTAAAAAAAAAAATCCTGCAGCACACGTGCGTAATGGGGAAAAAAGAAAACTTTGACAGTGTTTTTTTTTTAAAAAACAGCGATTTTGCACTGTATTTTCGAAAGGGAATTATATAAAGGTTTTCCCTAGTTTTCCTGGTCTCTTTTTAAAAAAAATGGAAGCCCATAACAAAAATTGAGATGTTTTTTTGACGGGTTTTTTAAAATGAAAAGTCCCTTGAAATTGACTAAAAGTACAGAAATCTTCGTTTTTTGCCAAAGTTCAAAGAAAAACAAACATGCTACCGTCCAAAAACACATAACCCTGGTGATCTAATATTCTTTTACAAGTGGCGATATTATTTATCCTTTTCTACACCATTTTTACCCCTAATGCATAGTCGCATAACAGAAAATCTTCTTTTTTTTGGTGAGAATAAAAATGCAAAGGGGAAAGAAAAAGAAATGTAACAGGGGGTTTGGGGACATGACAAATTTAACAAAAAAATGTTTTTTTTAGGCCGGGAATGTCTGTCTTTTTTAAATTCGGGCCCCCTTTTTGGGAAAATTTGGGGCATTTTTTGGGAAATTATGTGAAATTGGAAAAATTGCTAAATTCGACTACTTTTTTGGAAAATTGAAATGGGAAAATGGGTGGTTTCTTGTGCTCTTTCCCGAAAAAAAAAAATGGAGTTCAGCGAAACAGTTTTTGATTTTTGTCAAACTATTAAAAACTGGAATTGGCCAAAAATAGGGCCCAAGGGGGAAAAATCGCCGATGCATAAACATCGCCCAAGACCGCAAAATTTTGCGAGACAAAATTCCATAATTTTTCCCCATAAAAATCTCATATTTTCTGGTGTCTTTAATGATCGGGAAAAGATTCTCTATTTTTCAAAAAAGAAAAAATAATTTTTTTTTTAATTTGTCGACCCTGAAACAAGTCTGGGAGGGGGTCTGTCGACCCTAAAAGGGGTTAAGGTAAGTAACAAGTGAAAACTGTGTGTGTATTTTACTTGTTGTTTTTTTTAAATGCCTATTTCTATTGCAAACCAAATATATGTTATTGAAAAACCGGTTAAATCTATTTTTTATTTTGGGGGAAAAAAAGGGGCTCCGGAACCAAAACCTCCCAAAATAAGGGGGGGCCCAACGGGAAATATACATATACATGCTTAACAATTTGAAAACAGGTGAAATTTTTTAAACTTTGTCTCTACACCCACAGCAGGACCTAACTTGAAAACTCGTATAAAGGAAACCATAATTTCCCCAGGGAACCAGACGGCAAGACCCAGGGCCCCCCGGGGGTAAAGTACTATGGACTGATACAATTTTTTTCAGGTTTAAGTCCTGCTGTGGATGTAGAGACAATGTTTATATACAGTGGACCCCCGGTTAACGATATTTTTTTTTCACTCCAGAAGTATGTTCGGGTGCCATACTGACCAATTTGTTCCCAAAAGGGAATTTGTGAAGAAAAATTAGTCCATTTCAACCCCCAAACATACACTACAAACCACTTACATAAATACACTTACAAATTTGGGTCCATTCGGGGGGTGATCTTTATCCCCGGGGTCCACGGTTTTATATATATATATAAATATATATATATATTATATATATAAATATATATATTTTATATATATATTATATATATATAAAAATATATTTTATATATAAAAATATATATATAAAACACACAAACACTAAAATCTCTGGCTAAAAGGAGCTCGAACCTACGAACCTTAGACAAGGTACGCAGTGCTTTACCAATCTACCCACACGGGAACAATACCTTGGCGGTAGCCTTGCGCTAAAAATTTTTTGACCCAAAGGGCAGCCAGCTTTCGGGGAGAAGGTTTACAGCTTTTCAGTGTTTGGGGAAAAGCACTGTGTCCCTTTTCCAAAGGGTTTCATGGGTTTTTGAGTCTCCTTCAGCCAAAAGATCATGTCTGTGAAATTTTTTTCCCGCTCTCTTGAATTCCTTGCATTGTTCAAATCTCTAGTAAGGCTAAATGCATGCGGGGGATGAGAATGAAAAGCTGCAAGCCTTCTCCCTGAAAGCTGGCTCCCTTTGGGATCAAAACGTGTATGCAAGCTACACCCAAGGTATTGTCCAGTGTGGTAGTTTGGGAAAGCACTGCATACCTTTTTCCTAAGGTTAGTGGGTTTCGAGTCCCCTTCACCCGAGATCAGTTTTTGTTTTAATTTCGCCTGCCTCGCAAATTTCCCTTGCTTTGTTCAAATCTCTAGTAAGGCGATTATGCGGGGATGAAAATAAAAAAAGCTGTAACCTCTCCCGGGAAAAGCTGGCTGCCTTGGATCAAAACGTGTAGAAACAAAGCTAAAACGCCAAGGTATTGTCCATTTGGGGTAGTTTTGGAAAGCACTGCAACCTTGCCAAAGGGGTTCTTTAGGTTCGAGTCTCCTTCAGCCAGAGACCCAGGGGTTTGTGTATATTTCCCCTGCTCCCGCAAAATTCCTTGCATATATAAAAAAAAAAATTTTAATAATATATATAATATAAATATATATATTATATATATATAAAAATTATATAAATATATATATATATATATTTTATATATATTATATATAAATATATAAAAATAAATATAAAATATATAAACCCCAGCCCCCTGGGGGTTTAAGGAAATCATGGGGTTTTCTAGCTCACCATGGGGCAGGACATTACAACATGGGTTTGAGCCCTTTGGGCAGTGCAGTGTTCATATTGATCAATACCACTCTTAGGGGTTTAGAATAAAAAATGTTTTAAATATATATAAAATATATATATATATATATATATATAAATATATATTTATATATATATATATATAAAATATATAAATACGAAAAACACAAAACAAAATAAAATATTTTAAAAACATCAACCGTTTCCCACTAAGGCAGGGTGGCCTGAAGAAAAACTTTCCCCGTTCATTCAACCATGACTGTCTTGCCAGGGGTGGGGCTAAACTATATTTTAAAAAAACTGAAACATACCACCCCCCCTTCAAGTCCCGGAAAACTGTACTTCCCATCTCCAAGACTAAAGTCGGGGCCCCCGGGTTTCCATGAATACCTTCGTAAATTTTCCCAAAGCCACACCCCCCAGCAGACATAAAGTCCAAAAAAACCTTTTCCCCCTTCACTCCTATCTAACAGGGCCAAAACCCCATGCTTGTTTAAAGTCCAAGCCCCATCATGCAAAACCCCCCTTTTTACCCCCTCTCCCCAAAACCTTTCCTAGGCCGACCTCTCCCCTCCCTTTCCCTCCCCCCTAAAATTTTATACACTCTCAAAGCCCATTCAATTTTGTTTCACCCCTCAAAATGTCCAACCACTTCAACAACCCCTCCTTTTAATTAATATTTTTGGGTAATCCCCACATCTCCTCCAAATTTCCCCCAAGACAAAGGATTCCCCCTGTATTAAAAATTCACCCCACAAAAAGCCCTCAAAACACACCTCAACTGCCTCCAGCCTTCTCCTTGGGGCAAACATTCACAACTAAAGGCCCCAAGAGTGTTGGTATAACAAAAAAAACATTCCCCTTTTTATTTCCCCTTTTCCCATACCTGTTATAAAGTTTAATTGAAAAATTTAACGAAGAGTGAGGGAAAAATTATCACTTTTTTCACTGATGTGAAGCACTTCACAGCTTCCAATTTTTGTATTTTGGGGGGTCATTATTACGAAAATTTAAGAAAAATTTTTGGGGCCACAGTAAACAGGGGAAACTAAAACCCAAGGATACCGAGTCGTAATATGCGGGTTTCTACGTATATACATATACAGTAAAAATTTCAATTTTAAAACACTTTGGGGGACCTCCTCTATTGTGAAAAAAAATTTTGATTTTTTGAACACAAAACAAAAAGGTTCCCAAGGGAAATTTGTATTTGAAAAACTTCTAAAATTAAATGAATATTATTCCAAAATTTCAGAGGTCCCAAATTGTGTTTGTAAGTCGAGGACTTGCTTTTAACGGAACCTTTCCCCCTCCCTGTAAAAGGGCAACTGAGAGACAGAAAAAGAGGCCCCGGTAAAAGTTCATAGCCTGAAAATTTTTAAGGGGATTTCTAGCTAGTTAGACACACTCCCATCAAATATTTTTATTTTTGTACGAGGAAAGTCGGGTCTTTCCTGTCATTTTTTTAATTTCTGTTAAAAAAATTGTAAACATAAGGTGTTTGAGAGAATAGGAAAAAAAGAGTTCCCATTTTTAAACATTGTCAATAGTAAAGCCAGAGTGGGTATATAGTTTTTTTTTGAACACGGTATTGAAATTACAGTTTTCAAACACTAAAACAAAACCCCAATTCTGGTTTGAACACTTTTAATAAAAATACCATGTATGTGTTTGAACACGTGGAATCCAAACAGACTCTTACACACCAGACAGCATCAATACAAAAGCTTTAAAAGAAGTATGATAAAGCTAAAGGAGCAGGGAAGAGAGGACCTAGTGTTTTAACCCCCTTGGTCGGAGTTTTATAACTCCCCTGACGGGGGGTTTCTACCCCCGGCCCGGGTTTTTTTTTGTTTCCATACAAACATTGGGGGCAGTTTCAGCTACTACAGCTTAAGCTATCCCCTTTGAGGGATAGCAGTGAGCCCCCCACAGAAAACAGCCAGCCATAATTTTCCCCCCTCCAGACACTGGAGGTCATTTTTTGGGGAGCCAGGTGGTAAAGGGCACCCGGGTTTTGACAGTGCCCTCTCTCCTAAAACTCCTCTGAACGCCTCTCGGGGAACAAATAAACATAAATTTAATTTTTCTACACGGCAGTCTTTTTAAACCAGGGGAAATTTTGTGAGTGAATTTTAATAGTGTATTGTATCAAGTTCACTATAAAAAAAACCCTTTCGATAAAGATGGGATTTTTCTAAATTTTTTAAGGGGTTTTTATATCAGGATCCACAAAACAGTACACTATAAATGGTGGTTTTGGTCCATATTTTTAAGTGTTAAACAGAGTTTACTATACAAAAAAACCCGTTAAAAAAAAAGGTCTAAGAGGCCCCCTGTTTGCTCCAAAAATCATCTATTATCCCAAGACTTTACACTCTTTTTATTGGGGCCTCCAAACCAATCAGAACTTTAAACTCCACTGTAAACCCTCCCCAAAAAATTTACTCCTCGACATTTTACAGCAGAATGAAACATCACAATAAAAAGGGCAAAAAGCATTTTTCAACATCCCTCGATAAGACTCCCACTATCAAGAAACACTATGCACAAAAAAGGGCCCCAAAAAACGGAAATTGGGTACCCCAACAAGTCAAGGATCCCCAAAAAACTTATAAAAATTTTGGACTCGCTAAAAAATCATCTTATCCCCCCCAAAAATATTAACCCAAAGGGAAAACCCAAAAACTACGACTATTTTATCTGTGACATCCTGGCTTTTAATTCGCCATCCCCTAAAATATTACCAAAACCCGCAACCATTAAATTTAAGTTAGTTTTTGTACAAAGTATACATAAATTTTTTTTAAATCCAAACAAATTGTAAAACAGCTAACCACATTCTTTTGTTTTTGTTTTAAAGGGATAATTACTATGTAACTATTATCTTATCTAGTTTTAAATTTTTACTTGTATTTTGGTTTGTTTTTCCCAAAATGGGGCCCTGATAGTGGCTAAACTTTGTACTTATTTAAAACATTACTGTAAATTTCACATAGTAACCTTTTTTAAGAAAAAAAACCTTATTAATTTTTTAAATTTTTAAAAAATTATTTTATTATTATTATTATCCCTCTATTTCCACCAAATTAAACATCTCCACAAAACATCTATCATCCACAATCATCTATTATCCACAATTATCTATCAACCACAATCATCTAAAACCCCCACAATCCCCATTATCCAAAATTATCTATCATCCACAATCATCTATCAAACCACAATCAAACTATCATCCACAATCATCTATCATTCCCCAATTTATCAAACATCCACAATCATCTGTCCCTTTCCCAATCATTTTATCATTCACAAAATTTATCTAAACATTCACAAATCACTCCCTCCACAATCATCTATCATCCACAATACTATCATTTACAAAAACTATCCTTCACAAAACAAAATCATCCACAAACATCTAACATCCACAATCATTTTATCATTCACAATCAAACTAACATTCACAATCATCTACATTCACAATCATTATCATTCACAATCATCTATCATTCACAAAACAAACTATCACCACAATCATCTATCAAACCACAAACCTCTATCCCTCCACAATATCTATCATTCACAAAACATCTATCATCCACAATCTTTTATCATCCACAAACATCTATCCTCCCCAATCATCTATCATTCCCCAATCCCTCATCATCCACAATCAACTATCATTCACAATCCCTCTATTTATCCACAAAATCCATCATTCACAATCCCATCATTTCACAATCAACTATCATCCCCCCAATCCTTTTCATTCACGATCTCTACATCCACAATCATCTACCTCCCACAATCATCCAAACATTCCAATCATCTATCATCCACAATCATCTATCATCCACAATCATCTATCATTCACAATCATCTATCATCCACAATCATCTATCATTCACAATCATCTATCATTCACAATCATCTATCATCCACAATTTTATAACCACAATCACTATCATCCCCCCAATCATCTAAACATCCACAATCAAACTTTTCCCCAACATCTATCATTTACAATCATCTTTTCATCCACAAACTATCATCCACAAATCACTAACATCCACAATCACTTCATCCACAATCACTAAACTTCACAATCATCTATCATCCACAATCATCTATCATCCACAATCATCTATCATCCACAATCTATCATCCACAATCATCTATCATCCACAATCATCTATCATCCACAATCATCTATCCACAATCATCTATCATCCACAATCATCTGTCACCCCCAATCATCTATCATTCCAATTACTATCATCCACCCTCATCTGGCATCCACAATCAAACAAAAACCAAACACTATCATCCACAATCAACTTTTCCTCCACAATCATCTATCATCCACAAATCATCCCATCATCCACAATCTTTTATCATCCACCCAACCCTATCCACAATCACTATCCACATCATAGTCATCCACAATCATCTATCATCCACAATCATCATCAAACTACAATCAAACACATCCAAAATCCCCTTTCTTTCCCCAATTCTATCCACAAAACATCTATCCACAGTCATAGTCATTCCCCAAAACATCTATCATCCACAATCATCTATCACTACAAAAATCTATCATCCCCCAATCAACTATCATCCACAATCAACTATCCCCAATCATTTTATCCACAGTTTATTGTCATCCACAATCATCATCTCCACAATCATCCATCATCTACCCTCATCTAAACATTTCCCCAATCATCTATCCCCAAAAATCAAACTATCATCCATAAACATCATCATCCACAACATCTATTTATCCACAATCAACTTTTCATTTTACAATCATCTATCCCTTCACAAAACATCTATCTCCCCCAAAACATCTATCATCTACAATCACTATCATCCACAATCACTATCCCACAATCAAAAATTTTCATCCATAATAACTATCATCCCCCAAAACATCTATCATCCCCCAAAAACAAACTATCCCTTTTACAATCATCAAAACATTCAAAAATCATTTTATTTTATTCCCAATCATCATCTCTACAATCATCTATCCCTCCACAAACAAAACTATCATCCACAATCATCTACATCCCCTAACATCTATCATCCCCAATCATCTATCACCACAATATCATCATTCACAATCAAACTATCTCCACAATCATCTAAACATCCACAATCATCATCATCCCCACAATCACTATCATCCACAATCATCTATCATTTACAAACATCTATCATTCCAAACATCAAACATCCACAAACATCAAAAATCTACAATCATCTATCATCCACAAACAAACTATCACCACAATTTATCTATCATTCACAAACACTATCATCCACAATCACAAACATCCACAAACAACTATCATCTTCAATCAAAATTCATCTACAACAAACTATCATCCACAAACAACTATCATTCCCCAATCATCTATCATTCACAAACATCTATCATCCCCAATCATCCCATCAAACCACAAACATCCCTTATCCACAAACATCTATCATTCACAATCATCTAACATTTACAATCATTATCATCCACAATTAAAAATATCAATTTACAATCATTAAACCACAATCCCTCCCATCATTCACAAAACTATCATCCAAAAATCATCATCAAACCCCAATCATCTACCCTTCACAAACAACTACATCCAAAAATCACTATCATTCACAAACATCTATCATCCACAATTTATCTATCATCCCCAATCATCTATCATTCACAAACATCTATTATCCACAAAATCTATCATCCACAATCATTATCATCCACAAACACTATCATTCCCCAATCTTTTATCATCCACAAAAGGTAAAAATTTTAAAATTTAAATAAAATATTATTATTAAATAAAATATTTAAAATTTTTTTTATTAAAAAAAAAAATTATTTTTTTAAAAATTAAAAATTTATTTTTAAAAAATTTTTTAAATTTAAAAAAAATTTTTTTCTATGATAAAATATAAAATTTAATAAACTATCATCCACAATCATCTATAAAAAAATCACAATCTTTCCCCCAAACATTGAACCCCAAAAACATTTATCCAAACCCCAAACTTTTATCATCCACAATCATCTATTTTATCCCAAACATTTTCATCCACAAACAAAAAATCCTCCACAATCACTATCATCCCCAATCATCTATCTTCCCAACAATCATCAATCATCTATCATGCACAATCATCTAACAACCAAAAATCATCTATCTTCCCACAATCAACTATCATCCACAATCATCAAACTTTCCCCAATCTATTTATCAACAATCATCTATCAACACAATCATCTATCATCCACAATCATCTATCATTCCCAATCATCAATCATTCCCAATTTTATATCCACAAACATCAAACTTCCCCCAAATCTATCATCCCCAAAAACAACTACCTCCCCAATTTATCTAACACCACAATCCCCTAACAAACCACAACATCAATCATTTTTCATCACAAAACATTAACATCCACAATCATCTATCCTCCACAAACAAACAATCATCCACAATTTACATCCTTTCCCCAATCAACATCATCCCCAAACATCTATCATCCCCAATCATCAATAAAATCTATCATTCACAATCATCATCATCCACCCAAACATCTATCCTCCCCCAAACACTATCATCCCCCAATCCCTCCCATCTTTAAAAAATCTATCATCATCAATCATCTATCTCCCCAATCATCTATCATCCCAATCATCTTCACCCCAATCAACTATCAACCACAAACAAACATTCCCCCACAATCAACAAAATCCACCAAACCCTCAAAAAATTTCCCAACAATCAACCCCAAACCTCTTCATTCACAAACATCTATTTATCCACAAATCCAAACTATCATTCCCCAATCATCAAATCCCCAACCCAAAAATTCCCAAATATCAAACCACCCCAATAAACTAACATCCACAAATCAACTATCCCCTCCAAAAATCATCTAAACATTCACAAAAACCCCCCCAAACAACCACAAATTTAAACTTCCCCAATTTAAAAACATCCACATCCCCAATCATCTTTTCATTCACAATATCATCATCCCAAACCCCATCTTTAAACATCTAAACCCCCACAAAACTATCCAAACCCCAATCATCTATCATCCACAATCAACAATCAACCTTTATCCCCAATCCCTATCATCCCAACCCAATTTAACTATCATCCACAATCATCTTATCCAAACCAACAATCATTCCCAAACTTCCCATCATCCCCAAACATCCCATCAACCACAATCATCAATCATCCTACAAACCACAAACATCTTCATCCACAATCATCTATATCCCAATCATCAAACATCTATCATCCCCAATCCCCTATCATTCCCCAATCATCAAACCTCCCCTCATCCACCCAAACAAATCTTTCATCCCAATCAATCAATCATCATCATTTTACAAACATCTATCATCCACAAATTTATCTATCATCCACAATCCCCAATCACCCATCAAACCCCAATCAACCCATCATTCACAATCAACTATCATCCACAACATCTTTCCTCCACAAAACCTCAATCATCCAAACAAACCCCAATCACTATCATTCCCCAATCATCTATCATCCACAATCATCTTCCCTCCACAATCATCAATCATCTATCCCCCCACAAACATCTATCATTCCCCAATCATCAATCATTCCCCAATCATCTAACATCCACAATCATCAAACATCCACAAACCAAACATCAAACATCCCCAATCATCTATCATTCACAATCATCTATCATCCACAACTCTATCATCCCCAAACATCTATCCAACCACAATCCCTATCATTCCACAATCAAAATCATCCCCCAATCAACTATCCCTCCACAAAATCTTCCCAATCATCTTCATTCCCAATCAAATACAAACCCCAAACATCTATCAAACCACAATCATCATCTTTTCCCCAATCATCCCCAAACATCTACATGCACAATCATCTATCCCTCCACCAAACATCTATCATTCACATCAACTATCATCCACAATCACTATCATCCCCAATCACTATCATCCACAATTCTATCATTCACAATCACTAACATCCACAATCATCTATCATCCAAACATCCAATCCAAAAATCCCTCTATCAAACCCCAATCATCAAACCTTCACAACATCTATTTATCCACAATCAACATCACCAAAATCATCTATCATTCCCCAATCATCTATCATTCCCCAATCATCTATCATCCCCAACATCTATCATCCACAAACATCAAACATTCCAATCCCTCTAAACATCCCAATCACAAACAAACCACAAAACATCTATCATCCCTCAAACTTCATTCCCCAATCATCTATCATCCACAATCATCTAAACATCCACAAACAACCCCTTTATCCACAATCATCTAATTTAACCCCCAATTTTTTTTATCATTCCCCCCTTTATCAAACATCCCAATCAATCCCTTCACAATTTATCTATCATCCACAATCATCTATCATTCACATTTTATCCCTAAAACATCCACAATCATCTATCATCCACAAATCTATCAAAACAATCATCAAACATTTCCCCAATCATCTATCAACCACAATCATCTATCATCCACAATCATCTTAAAACATCCAAAAATCATCTAACATCCACAATCATCTATCATTTCCCCAATCCAACTATCACCAAAAATCATTATCCCACAATCATCTATCATCCACAATCATCTAAAATCCACAATCAACATTTACAAACATCTATCATCCACAATTTATCTAACATTCCCCAATCAATTTTTATCATCCCAATCACATCATCCACCCAAACACTATCATCCACAACCCTTAAACATTCCCCAATATCCCATCTTTCCCCAAATCTATCTTTCCCCAATCATCTATCTTTCCCCAATCTATCATTCCCAATCACTATCATCCACAATCCTATCATTCCCCAATTTACTATCATCCACAATCTATCATCCACAATCATCTATCATCCACAATCATCTATCATCCACAATCATCTATCATTCACAATCATCTTTCACAATCATCTATCATCCACAATCATCTATCATCCACAATCATCTATCATTCCACAATCATCTTTCCACAATCATCTATCATCCACAATCATCTATCATCCACAATCATCTATCATCCACAATCATCTATCATTCACAATCATCTATCATCCACAATCATCTATCATTCACAATCATCTATCATCCACAATCATCTATAATTACAATCTCTATCTCCACAATCCCAACAACCCCCCAATCTCCCATCATCCACAATCTCTTCATCCACAATTTAACTATCATTCCCCAATTTTATCTTTCAAAAATCCCAATCTATCATCCACAAAACATCTTCATCCACAACCCCAAACATTCACAATCATCTATCCACAATCATCTATCATCCACAATCATCTATCATCCACAATCATCTATCATCCACAATCATCTATCATCCACAATCATCTATCATCCACAATCATCTATCATCCACAATCATCTATCATCCACAATCACAAAACCCACAATCAATCATATCACCCAATTCCAAAATTTTCACCCAAAATATATATCCACAAAATCATTAAACCATCAGCACATCACCTATACCACCCTTTACAAAATAAACCATCCTATATCCCCCTTATTCCTATCAATTCCAATCAAACTTTCCCCCAAAAATCCCTTCTATAACCCCTCATTATCACCAATTTTCTTTTAAAAACCAATCAATAAACTCCATTTCCAATTATAGCACCCCAAATTCCAAAAACACATTCCAAATAAAACACATTTCCCTATACATTTCCCAAAAAACCTTTAAATTAACCCCCATTCCCAATCTGATCCTTTCCCAAAAATTTTAATTAAAACATTCCAAATATTACACCAGGTTCCATATACCCCCTTTCTATACACATTTTTATAAGCAAATTCCCCTTTTAAGCCACCCAAAAAAGCATTCCAAAACAACATCTTTCCAAAATTCACAATCCTATAAACCCTCCATAAACACAACATTTTTATATCACCCTATCAATTATCACCAATTCATTATACACAAATCCAAAATAACACCACATTCCAATATCACTTTCATAAATTTCAATCTAACACTATTTCCAATTAATCATCTAAACAAAACACCAAATCTTCATAAACACCCAATAAACATCCAAATCATTTCAAAACCATTTTCCAATTC